CTCTCTCTCTCTCTCTCTCTCTCTCTCTCTCTCTCTCTCTCTCTCTCTCTCTCTCTCTCTCTCTCTCTCTCTCTCTCTCTCTCTCTCTCTCTCTCTCTTTGATTTCACATATTTAATCCCGACTTTTTTAATCATTTGCAAAGTCGGAGAGAAGAAATCCTAGTGTAAAATTTTATTCATAATAATACAATTTGTTTTCATTTCTTTACGATAAAATATTAGTATTCATATAGCACGAGATCAAATATAGTATTCATATTTGATCACCGAACTTTTCACATAGCTCAGGTGATGATAGTTTCTTAGCAAAGCGACTTTTACTTGACTAGAAAATCTGTTAATAGAATGAAAGAACAAAGATTTCTAAAAGTTTTTTAAAAAGGGAAGGCAAACTTTCACTGTAATTAATCATTTACCGCGTCTCATTTACGATTCTTGAATCATTTTTAATCAATTTTAAATTCGACAAATTCTTTGTATCTTCGAAATAAAATTTTTCTATCCGTTAAATTCAAAAAACGCATTGCAAATATACATTATTTTTTTATTTTAAATGAAAAAAATTTTATATATATATAATTTTCTTCTTAATTCAAATTTTCGAATACAAATCATAATTTCGATTCAAAAACTTGAATTATATATTAGCAAATTTTACGAAATAAAATTATTACTATGAAAAATAAAAAAGATTTCATAATAAAATTGAAGAAAGATATGCATCATTTTGTCTTTTCTTTAGCAGTTCTGGAGAATATTTTCTACTGGCTGTTCGAACGATCTGTTGCTACATTGGGAATACATTGTGTCTAGAAAATTATAATACTACGCAATCGTTTCTTGGGGTTCGGTACAATCGGTGGGTTTCACCTCGAGCCACCAATCGTTGGGATAATGATATTTTTGCAATTCGATGCCTTCTCTAGGGACAGGAATTAATCGACCACCAAATTGCTTAGCCGGTAAAGGAGGAATTACAAGTTGAGGTGGAAAACATTGTAGACTAGGAGAAAATTCGCAATCTGGAGGCAGCACTCTTCTTGTCCAACCGACTCTTCTTAACATTTGTGTCTATAAAAAAGAAAGGATTTCAATTATTTGAATATATAAAGCCAATTTTCAAATAAATTAAATATTTAATTTTTTAATATACATTTCTATATTACTTGTTTTTTGAATATTAATTTTTCTTTCATATCGTTAAAATTATCAATTATTCTTACATTCAAATGGCAAATGTTTGAATCGATTTTAGCGTTCCGGATTCTTATCCTTTGCAACATGACCTTTTAAAATGTAATATCGTACTAAAGTCGAACAATAATAATAATAATAGAAACGTTCATCGTTTTATTATAATGAATGATGCCAAGCAATGACTTTCATTTGTCCTGGTTGTATAATATCTAAAATACACTTCATAAATTATAAAAGATCTTCACGCCATTTCAACTTTATAACTCATAATATCGTAACTAACATACGAATTTCTTATAGGTATATGAATCATTCTTACCTCAAGGCTTGTGCGAAATAAGACTATTTGCGGGTAATAAAACTTTGTTGTAAAGATTAAATAGTTTTCGAAATGCAAAATTCAAATGGTAGAACTAGTTTTTACTAAATATTCTATCTGTGTTTCGATAATAAAATATTTGAAGCAAAATTATACAATGATTAAACTTACCACGGCATCTTCTTCGAAAACCACGATCTCTACCTTGGCCGCATCTTCTCCAACCTCGTGCTCTTGAATACGATATACTCCAGCCGCGTGTAAGTACGTAGCGCTTAAACCAACTTCGCGGAATGCTTTCGTGATTAAAACATCGTCTCTCAGCGTGTCGACCATGCAAAGCTCGACCTTACGTGCCCATGGCAAGGCACGACCGATCCGAACTTGACCCCATAGCCCTCCAAGGCAGAGAAAGTGCACGATGTCCAGTTTCGCTAGCACCAAATGAACCCTAATCGAGTCACACACTAGATAGAACAGTTCGACGTACGCTAGTTTTGTAAAACTTATCATGAGAGAAAACTATGCCCCGTCAAACAAATCATTTTGATCATCGAGAATGAATTTAATGATTCATTACTTCGTTATTTTAACTTTTGCTGATTTTATCCTATGTTATAAATAGACCGTGGATTTTTATGTAAATG